AAGGCATGTAATAAGCTAGTTTTTTTCTGGATATGATTTTAAATTCTGGGTGTTCCAGGGTGTGGACGAAGGAGTAAATATGCTTACATCCCAATGTAAGCATTCCTTTGCTGTCTATCGTTGTAGTGAAGCGTCTGAGCTTTATTGTCTTGTGTCCTAAAAAGTAGGTGAGAATTTAGACTGCAGCTGGAGACGCAGCTCAGGGGAAGTGTTTACCCTACAAGCACAAGGTCCTGGGTTGGATCTCTGGCACCACAGAAAACCAACTGAATACCAGGTGGAGAGGGGTGAATCAGGAGTTCAAGGCCGTCCTCAGCAAGTGCCGGGCCAGCACAGGCTACAGGAGACCTGTCAACAAGAAAAAAGAAGGAAGGAGGGAGGAAGGGAGGGAGGGAGGGAGAGAGGGAGGAAGGGAGAGAAAGAGAGAGAGAGAGAGAGAGAGAGAAACTGGGGTGGTGGCAATGCACACCTTTAATCCCAGGACTTCTGAGGCAGAGATAGGTGGGTCTCTGAGTTTAAGGCCAGCCTGGTATAAAGTGCAATTTCCAGGATAACCAGGGTTATATGGAAAGCCCCTGTCATGAAAAAGGAAAACAGGGTTATAAAAGGTTTCTAGCAAATGTTAGCATTACAATAGTTGTTGGTTGGTTGGTTTGGAGACAGTTGTCCTGGAACTCAGCAGTGTGCCCAGCACACCTGGATGGCTAGTTAATAAGTTTTGCTATATGAAAATGGGGCAGAGGTAGCAAAGTACTGGCAGTACATGCCAATTTTCCTTGTGATTTGAGAGGTCGGGGACACAAAGACAGCATCCTGTTTGTGACTGGTGGACATTAGTATAACTAGTCCTATCCATTGGATCTATAAAGGAGAAATCCAGAGGGCAGATCGTTAGTCCAGTAAAGAGCTGTTAGGGGGAGTCTCCCTTGTTACGCAGGGGCAGTCATCAGACAGCTGACTTAAGGGGCAGGCAAGACTGGGAGGGGAGGTGTTTAACAGCCTCTTCCCCACTCCCCAGGGGATTTCTGGGCCTCTCTGACAACCTTGCCCGGCAACCTTGGTGAGTCTGGACAGTAATGGTGCTGAAGTGTCACAGACATTAGGAAGAGGTGTGGAAATGCCAAGAGAAAGCTCAGCCCAAGTGTCCTATGTCCCCATAGCTCCTTTGGATTTTTACCTAGCTGCTGGTGGCACTGGCCCGCCAGGTAGCAGCCGAGAGGAGGCACAGTGCTCTGCGAGGTTAAAGGAGTGACAGTTGGGTGTTAGCCATATCATTGCCCATACAAATCAGAATTCGATGGGAGACCTACTTGTTGAAATATTAAAATCACATGGAACTAGAATGAAAACTTTGGGTCACTAAGCACTCTACCTACTCAGGACTAAGTAATAGAAAGCGCCCTTGCCATCTGCCTACCCAGTCTTCAGAACTGGATCCTGGTGAGCTTTCTCCTGCCAACCCTCCTCGGTACCTACTGTGGCAGGAGGCAACTTTACTGGAACCAACCGGGGCAAGGTGGCCAGCTTTACAGCCTTCTCCCTCTGTGGCAGGGGGCGTCTCGGGACCCCCACCTTACAATTCCTTCTCCCAGCAGGGTGACAACAGCTACGACTTCCTGTCTGCTGAAGAGAAGGAGTGTCTGCTCTTCCTGGAGAAGACCATTGGCTCCCTGGAGGCCGAGGCTGACAGTGGACTGTCCACAGACGAGTCAGAGCCAGCCACCAGCCCTCAGAGCTTCAGAACACCACCCCTCACCCAGCAGACTCCCCAGGGTAAGAGACTGTCTAGGGAGGCAGTGCTCAGACCAGTGTCTCCTTCTGAACAGTTGACATCTTGTTTGCCCTCTGCTGCTAGCTTATAGGCAGAAGGAACCCCGCAGTCTCCCAGCCAGACTAAATTCTTGTCTCCAGAGGGGAGGGGGGACTCCTGAGAAGCCAGCTTCTGGTGACTTTCTATGAATTATCAGAGGCCTGGGAGGGAAAGGAGTTTGGCTAGCTCCCTTTCTGTCAGGGAAGAACTCAAAAAGAGATATGATACCACACGTAGGGAGGAGTCAGGGCGGCCTAAGCAGCTGGCCCTGGAGAGGATGATTTGGCATAGGGAGCTAATCTAGGTGACCCAAAGAACAAGACCAGGAGATAAGAGAGGAGCGCCCCAGCAGCATGCAGTACCCAGAGGCCCCTGTGAGGAGACAGCAGAAAGACAGCGCCATTCCACTTCAGTAGAGGAGGATGGGACGCGCACAGGTGTTGGGAATGTGTCCCAAGGTAAACAGAAAACGTTGCTACTATGGACAATCCCAACAGTATCGTTATCCTTTCAGTAAATATTTATAACTACTTAACACATCCTTGGGCCCTCCATTTAGACAGAGTAGAAATGGAAACTTCACATACCCCGAGGCTAATCCATCAAGCCTGGTGGACCTCACTCACCTGCCAAGAGCGCTAGGCCGCTAGGCAAGATAGCACGTCACTCAAGGGTGCCAGGCATGACGCTGTCACAGAACCATCCAGGATCTCACAGAAAGTGAAAGCAGAAGACCAAAGCAAGTCAAGTTGGCAGCAAGAGCTTCCACTGGGCTCAGTTATCCTGGGCTCTATGAGATAGTGTGAAGACCATATCCAAATCTCCCCCTGACTTTGATACCTGCTTAGAAGGTGGGGAGAGCCTGAGGTAAGGCTTTGAAGGCTTTGAAGCAACTAAGAAGCAATGTCTTCCAACCCCTATAAAACAATCAATTCCCAGTCAAAAAGAACCTGTTGCTTTTGATCTATTAGTCTACATGACCTCCAGAAAACAGTACTGCCCTGTTATAAGTCAAAGTCAGACAAACCCTGTTCATTGGGGAAGTGTGTGCTTTCTGCTCTGCTCGGTAACGGCATCCTCGCTCTGTTGACGCTTCTCCTGTTCTTCCCACTCCCCACAGGAAACCCAGAGGAGATAGACTCTCAGCACGTGCCTGCACCAGTGAGAGTATCCCAGTTCTCCGGTCCTCCTGAGTCTCCTAGTCTGGGCCTCAGGTCTGGTTCCTACAGTCTTCCCAGAAACCTCCACCTTGGCAGAAGCCAGAACCTCAGGGAAAGCACTACCCAGACTAATAGCCACGTATCTGAAACATCTGAGGTGTTCTTAGCAGAGCCTGAGAAAGGGCAGACCAGCCAGGACTCTAAGCCCATCCAGCCACCGGCCCCATCTCAGGACACTGCCCTTGACCTGAACACAGTTCTCATTCCGCCACCGGAGGCTTTTCAAGACAGTAGGCCAAAGCAAAGTGGGGAAGAGAGCCCACCTAAAGAGCCAGGGGAGAAGAGACACACACCACAGGCCCATACTGTGGTCAGCTCCCAGAAGAAAGAGGAAGCATCTTCAGAAACTATGTCCCATAAAGCCGCCGAGCAAGGTTGGACAGAAGGTTCACAACAACCACAGCAGCCCCCTGACAAGTCATCTCAGAACACAAGAGCTGAAGAGGCTCCCCTACCATCGGGGGTCAAGCCAAGTCTCCAACAGGCTCCCCCCACAACCTCAAAGCCCCGTAGGCTGCCTCCTAATATCGTATTGAAGAGCAGCCGAAGCAGTTTCCACAGCCATCCCCAGAACTGGCTGTCAAATCACAGCGAGGCTACAGACTCTGGGCCTGACCCTTCTTCCCTGCAGGAACAAAAGAAAGCCCGCAGAGAAGCTCTGGAAAAGCTAGGGTTGCCCCAGGACCAAGATGATCCCAGCCTTCTTATAAATAAGCGTACCACTTCCCTTAAAGTCAAGGCAGCTCAGGCTCAGAGCCCTGCCCAGGCCCAGGCCACGATTCAGCAAGCATCTCCAGCTCTGGTTCCAGGGGCTGCTTCTGCTGCAAGGAAAGCTTCCCCAGTGAAGGCTGTCACTCCTGTGGCCTCTTCAGGCAAGAGCTGGATTCCTGCCCAGGAAACCCCTCCAGGGAAGTTGGCAGCTGCCAAATCTATGCCGATTCCTATCCCTAAAGCTTCAAAGGGAAGCAGTTCCCTGACACAGCCCAAGCCTGATCCACGACTGACCCTCCAGGAGAGTAGCATCCCTGGCCTGAGACAGATAAACTTCAAGTCCAATACCCTGGAGCGCTCAGGCGTGGGGTTGAGCAGCTATCTCTCGGCAGCTGAGAAAGACTCCAAATGCCGAACCAGTACATCTCTGGGAAAGAGCCCCGTCTTGGACAAGGTTTCACCTAGTGTCTTGCGTAATTCCCGGCCCCGGCCCGCCTCCTTGGGCATGGGAAAGGACTTTGTAGAAATCAAGGGGGCCAAGTTGGTCGGCCTGGAGCAGAGCCAGCATTCCCAGCAGCTGGCCTTCCAAGGACAGAGCCGTGACAAGCTTCCTCGACCTCCCTGCGTCAGTGTCAAGATATCCCCAAAGGACATTCCTGATGGACACAGGAGGGAGGCCCTAAAGAAGCTGGGACTGCTGAAGGAGTAGCTAGGCCACCTGCCTAGCCAGCACCAAGCCACCAGAAGAGACTGGCTCTACCTAGAGCCTTTGTGGCCTCACAGCTCAGGGCTGCCGTCTTCCCTGTCTGAGGTGAAGAAGGAAGAGGCTTGAGTCCAAGCGTGTGTTTGTACTCAAAGCAGTTGCGCTATTGAGTACTTGCATAGATCATTCTAAAGATGTGTCTCCCGGGAGTGGGAGGGAGGAGGAGGAGAGAGAGAGAGAGACCTTACTTATCACTGATCCTATGTAACACAAGAAGTCACTGTTCAGAGCTCTGTTCCTGGTTGAGATTTCACAGGCATAAAGTTCAGCCTGTCCAGAACTGAGCGGAGCAGAGTGGCCAAACAGGAGAAGAGCAGTCGAATGAGACAAAGGAGGTAGAAAACTTAGAAAGATGAACAGCATCGCACACGTGACTACGGTCACATCAGCTGTGGGATGAGTTTCTGCAGTAATGGAGACTCGCTCAAGTCTTCCATGCCTCTCTCTCGGGGAAATGGCCCGAGGCCAAGGGGAGCTGCTCCGGTATCTCTTTCCCCACTGCCTTTCCCTGTCGTTTCTTGCAGTGTGGGCTACATCCCTGTCTCTACATCTCATAGTTCACTGATAGCAGGGCACTCCCTGGTCTGAGAAAGCCGAGTAATGGCCACGCCACACCCGCGTCCATTTCTACCTGGAAGAAACCATGTCATAGGCTTGAAGCATATCATAATAAACTGTGCCGTGGCCTGTGTTCTTCCTGCTTTCTGTCTCCCTGGCTGGTTTCAGGGCAGGTCATCACTGAGCTGGAAGCCCAGCCCAGCGGCTTTATAAGTACACAGTGGTTCCTGAATTTCTCCCGGCTCTTCAAAAGCCTGCAGGTTTCCTGGGGGCTGGAGGGGTGGCTCCATGGTTAAGAGTGTGTAAGGCTCTTGCAGAGGACCAAAGTTCAGTTCCCAGCACCCATTCACAACAGCCTATAACTCCAGTTTCAGCTCCAAAGGACCCAGCACCCTCTTCTGGCCTCCAGGAGGGACCCCTGCATTCACATGTACTCACACACAGACACATATTCATGTAACTAAAAAAATGTATGAGGTTTTTTTTGGAAATTTTTCAGGTTTCCTCAGTCCCAGTGATGGAAACCCACAGAGAGAGACTATTAGAATGGAGGGGACTTGAAATTCACACATGAACAGCTCACCTGGTGCCGCGCCTGTCAATCATGCTGCTCCGAACTGCCTCACTGCCTCCTTAGCCTGGGTTCTTAGACCTTGTCTCTCTCAGAGGCTCAGCCTTAGGCCCCTCAGAATTCTAAAACACCTTCCAAAACACCAGGACGCTGGTGTTTTTTTTTTTTTCTTTAACAAGGGGATATATTGTAGCTTTTTTTTTCTTGGTTTGTTTGTTTTTGTTTTTTCTCAAAACAGGGTTTCTCTGTGTAGCTTTGAAGCCTGTCCTGGAATTCGCTCTGAAGACCAGGCTAGCCACAAACTCACAGAGATCCTCTTGCCTCTGCCTCCCTAGTGCTGGGATTAAAAGTGTGCACCACTGCCCGGCATTGTAGCTCATTTTTAATAATTCGGAGCAATTCTTCCTCCAAATTTCCCAACACGCTGTATATGTCTTAAGTGAAATGTGTAGTCTTGTGACATAAATGAGCAGGCATGGCCGGACATGACCCCCCCCTCTCGGTAGATGACGATGAGTTGGTAGAGATGCCCCAAAAGGGGGAGCAGGTAGTGGCTGTTGCTGGAAGATGCCCTTTTGTCCCGTCATCTCTTGTCTGTGTCCTTAGGGACCCTTTGCCATCAATGATCAAAACTTCTGAGAGCAATGAGACGGTTAGGGTTAAGGGTGACAAATGACTCCACCCTATCATGGTATGTGGGTTGTGGGTGTGGCAGTTTCTGTGTGTGCTCTCTACACACCCCCACATACACACCCAAACGTCTGCTCCCTGGTTCCTAGCTCCAGGTGAAGACCTGATCTCTCAGAACTGGTGAGGGCTCTAACATTGAGCAAGCTCTACCATTAGAAGCTCTCAAAACACAGAAGATCAGTTCTAGGGGAGTGACTTGACAAGCTCTCTCATCCATAGACACAAGCTGGTTCCCTGTTCACTTACTGAATGATTAAGAGAGAACCATGAGTTATACCTCCGTTGAGACTGAGGCTTAATGGGAGTCTAGGAACAATACGATACTAACCGTGAGCTGGTCAGAAGGGCCACCTGTTCCATCTCCATCCGGGAGACAGGGAAGCTGGCCTCATACCAACCTCAGCCACATACAGCCTGCTCCTGCCCCTCTGCATCTTCTCCACAATGTCAGGCCCATTTCCCCCATCCTCTTAGAGTCAACAACACCTTCTGTCTACCTTAAAGAGCTGAGGAGAGCCTGAGGAAAATGTTTGCTACGCCAGTATGCCAGTATGAGGATCTTAGTTCTCCCTCCTTCTCTCTCTCTCTCTCTCTCTCTCTCTCTCTCTCTCTCTCTCTCTCTCTCTCTCTCTCTCTCTCTCTCTCTCTCTCTCTCTCTCTCTCTCTCTGTGTGTGTGTGTGTGTGTGTGTGAGAGAGAGAGAGAGAGAGAGAGAGAGAGAGAGAGAGAGAATGTTTTTCAAGATGCAAGAATATCAATTCAAACTTGGCCATCATCATTTTGAAAAGGGCAGAAAGGTCCAGTGAAAACATCCATTTTGCCCCCACCAAGAAGGTGAGGCTCCACCCACCTGATCCGACTGGTCTATCCTCTTGTACCCAGACAGGAAGAACTTCCTGTCATTGTCTTGCACTGATGGGGTGAATTAAGAGTTCCTCCTCTCTCTCTTTTCAAGAGATTTTGTGTAGGAGATTGGAAAACCTTATGTATAATTTTAAAAGCCAAACCAACTGTTCTATTTTCACTTGGATCTTAGATGTCTGCCTTATCCAACCAGAGTCTTGTTGCTGCTGGGTGCAAGCTATCTTCCGAATATAGAAGTAAGCCTCCTCTAAGCCTGGAACAGTGGGCTCAGTGCCCCCCAGATGTTTGGATAGCTGCCTCCTTGAGTCACCATTCACGTGTTACCCTGGGAGCACTACGCTGTGATTCCAGAGAGGCGCAGCAGGCCTACGGTGGAAGTGCAGTTTGGTAGAAGCCATCCTATGACCTGTGGGTGGGTAGTTGTGCAAACACCGGTGTGTGTTTTATGGGAGGAAGGACAGATTAAAGAGGGGGAGTACGGGCTCTCACTGGTTTGCTGAGTCTGACCTGGAAGTGATGGGTGAAGATACGTGGGTGCAAGAAGGCGTCCCTCTCCCTTCCATGGCTTCCATGCTTGTCTGTGTGGGCAGGGGAAGAGCATACAATCAGAATGTGCAGGCTGGGTCTCATAGATCCAGGATAGGCAGGTGAAAGCATGTCCATCTTCATCATTCTAGGCAGGATTACAGATGTAATGCTTCTCTGAAGATTCTGCCTTTGAGTAACTATGGGGCACATAAACGCATGTTCAAATTTAATATTCATCTTAGAACAATCGAGCAATCTGAGGGTGTCACTTTTGAACCTTATCGTTTTCGTAAGGTAAATGGGAGTGGTACCACCAGCTGTTTAAGACTGTCCGGATAAACAGAGCACAGTCCTGGGCACACTGTAGTAACTCAAAAAATCAGTGATGCCTTTTAGATAACATTTCCTCTTGCTCAGGAGAGAATACAAGGCTGGAAGCCAAGTGCTCTGGAAACTAAATTCTGCAAGTGACTTGCAACATATGAAGTCCAAAGTAGTCTAGTCTTCTTCGGCTCACCCTCCGGGTGACACAACTGTGCCCACATTTTGTTTCCTGAAGTTGCAAAAGGAAAAGATCCGCATGAATCTGATGTTCATGTCTTGTTGAGACTGAGCCTGATGCTTCCTGCTTCTGAATCCTCGAAACCAGCTTCTTCGCTTGCCAGTCTTAGACCGTCTGTGAGCAGACGCTTCTTCATGTTCCTGCTGACTTAAGCACCAGTAAGGAAGCTAAAAACGTTTCCAGACTCCTGGAACACTTCCTAAAACTAAGATCAGCATCTCTCTGGCACGAATCAACTGTTCGTTTGGAAGAGAGAAGGGGTGCAGTTGATGAGCTCTCTCGTCCTTTTTGGTGTCGGGATCCTGTGGATGTCAGGAGCCTCCATCGCCGTGACAGTCATCACCGGCACTGAGCGCACGCAGGAGTTAAAGACAGCGTTTTAGACTGTCGTCCTCTTGCCTGTTGCCGAGGGGGATCTTCATCCATGTTGACCTCATCTGCAAAGGATACAGAGCTCAAAGCAATGTGAAATGTGATGGTATCCCAGGAAAGTCCCGGAGCGGGGAATTTCTGTCATGCTCATACATGGGGCGGGAGAAGCAGACTAGGTCCGTTACAGTACTGAAATACGTCTGCTTCTTCGCACCAGCAATCTGCTTCCGGTCCCGGGCTGCCCAGGAGCCAGGAGGATATTTGTCCCGCTGCTCTAGTTTTTACTGTGAGAGACGGACGCCTGAGAAAATACACACAGATTTGTACATAGGTACAAGAGCAAACTAAAAACGGATATGATTGATTGCCTACAGAGATCATGCAGAGAAATCATGGAAATAAGGCAGAGTGGGCACGGAGAGAAGGGAATTCATTGGTATACCTTTTAAGGCAGTTCAAACTTGAAAGCCTTGAAACATTTCGCACAGCCATCAGATAACAAACAAGCAAGCAAACCAACACTCCTAGTGTGGGTAGAGGCGAGGAGGAATCCAAAATGAACTACCAATAGAAGACATTAATGTAACTGTGTTAGGAATTGTATCAAGGGGCAGGGACAAGAACGGAAACTAAAGTCGGAAGCTGGCCTGGGGAGATTGTTCAGTGGGTAAGAGCACTTGCTCTGCAATCATGAGGACCTGAGTTCAAATCCCCAGCACCCAAATAAAAAAGCCAGTGTCTGTAATTCATAGCACTGGGGGTTGCAGAAACAGGTGGATCCTGAGAGCCTGCTGGCCATCCAGCCAGCTTCTAATTCAGGAAGATACCCTGACTCAAAGGAAATAAGGTGGAGAGCACCACTTTATTGTACCCCACACACGCACACACACATGAATATACACACACGAGCATAAACACGAGTAAACACACACAGGAGTGTAAACACACATACACGATATTTTGACTATGCTTTCTTTTTTTCAAAAAAAGACAAACTATTTCATAAATATGTGTCTCACATTTATGGGTTATAATTATTTTTTAAAGACTTCTAGAAGGAATTTTAATTTGTTTTTTATTTTTTATATGCATTGGTTTTTGACATTGGTGTCAGGTCCCCTGGAACTGGAGTTACAGACAATCGTGAGCTGCCATGTGGGTGCTGAGAATTGAACCTGGGTCCTCTGGAAAAACAGTCAGTGCTCTTAACTGCTGAGCCATCTCTCCAGTCCCTATGGGTTATAATCCTTAAAGTACTTTCTGTGTGTTACAGGAGTGAGTAAATGACTGTGTTATGAATAAAGAAGCTAAATTTATTTCTGCTGGGGAAGGGAGCTAGAGATTCTAAAATGGAGACTTGGATAAACCCTGTGAGCTGGTTTGGAATTGGAGGCTGCATTAACTCATGAATAGGTGGGAGACAGACAGACAGACAGACAGACACATGATAGATAATTATCATGTACAGAGACATGTGTACGCATGTATTTGGACATCTTTCCTAGCTCTCTTCCCTGAAATAACAAAAAAGATCTCCCCAGGAGCTGTGAGCACATC